GCCATTTTAGCTCATTAAGTAGTATGCATTTCTAGTGAGCTTTGGAATATCCCACTGCCAGGCCCCTGAATGGACCCCAGGCCCGGGGCAGCTGTCAGCATCGACTCACCAAAATTATCAGAAAGAATATAACGGATTTTTAAACTGATTGTTAAAATGTCTTGCATAATTCTGTGTTTTCTTTTTATATAAATTAATCTATGTTTTGGATGCTGTTGTGCATATGTGTAAATCAACAGTTACAGTTACTCATCATGTAAGAATAGTGAAAGAGTATTTGTGTTTCATATTTATAATTTGTCTGGGTACATTGAGAACACTGCTACTTCAGCATATGATGAATGGAATACTGAAAATATGGAAAGAGGTTTATGAAAACCATGAGGAATTTTGCTTTAACTGTGGACTGATATACAACTGTGACTTCTGAAGAACATGTTACCTATTGTAGATGTTAATGTATGGGTGTATATAAATCTTTATATGACACTGTAATCCCAAATGAAAGTTTTCCTGTATGAGTTTTGATAGACAGTATACAAGACTATAAGAAAATGCTGTTGATTTTGTAAAGTGTTTATTTGACACTGATATGTTGTTAAAAAGTCTGGACTCGTTTAATATGAAAATAAAAGTCTGTTGTGAGAAGGGCTGAGCATTGGGTTAGCATGTTGGACTGGTAATATCAGTAAAGGAACTCTTAAGGGAAGGCAGCCTGTCAGCTTAACCCCTTGGATTATCACCCATGGAGCTGAGTTTCATTGTTTTACACCTGTTACCACAAAAACATACAAATATCAAGCTTCACATATTTGGGCCATGTTGCTGCACCATTATAAAAGTGACAGTCAAATCCCACCACTTGGCTCAGTCAGACAGGAATGGTCCAACAGTTGCAGTGGGTGAAGCTGACTATCTGCCTTGCTTCTTGTCTGTCATGCTAAAATTAGGGACTGATAGCCATTCATATGGTTTTGTGTGAAATCCTACAAACAAGTAAGCTGTTGTGAAAAATTAATGTGCTGTGTTTTGTAACTGAAACAAATGTGATAAACATATAAAATTTAGTTTTGATTCTGTTTACATAGGTGTATCCTCCAATTAATGTACTGCCATCACTTTCTCGATTGATGAAATCAGCTATAGGAGAAGGCATGACTAGAAGAGATCATGCTGATGTCTCAAATCAACTGGTATGTTTTCTTTTTCCTATAGACATTACCATACCCTGTTTTTTTTACATTTGTTTTACTTGTGGTATCTTGGTTATTAAAATACTTAATTTTTTCTAGAATATAGTCTTATTTTTTTGTGAAGGCTTAGTCTCATAAACTGTTTGTATGTTGTAGTTTGTGACAGTCTGTTAAATCTAGTTTACTTTTAACTCCTTTTTTATGTTTCCTTGTTTAGTATTTTACATGTTTAATTACCTTTGTGAAGTTATTCATTTTCATTAACTTGTTTTCTTATTTTCAGTGATACAAAATAAGATTAACATGCAGAATGATTTTTGCAATATACTTAAATTTCTTCTATTAACCTGAAATTTTTCATGCTTCATTTGAGTTTATGGTTGCCATGAAAGAGAGTTAAAACAAGAAAATATACATGTCTTCACTAGTTTATTTTTTGTTACAACTATGGCATAATAGCATTTATTCTACACTTGGAAGTTGGCTAACTCTTCTTAGAAGAGTGGAAATGTAGATCAGTAATCAAAATTGTATGTTTTTTTTTTCATTATCTTGAAAATGCAACAATACATCTGTTGTCTTTAACTCCATGTTCTATTTTGTACTTGCCAGTATGCTTGTTATGCTATTGGGAAAGATGTCCAGGCCATGAAAGCTGTTGTTGGAGAAGAAGCTCTAAGTTCAGAAGATCTACTCTACTTAGAGTTCTTGGGAAAGTTTGAGAAAAATTTTATTTCTCAAGGTAAGTCTTGAAGAGACTAGGAGTTGATGATGTTACAGTGCTAAGCAACATTTCACAAGTTTCAAGATCCTTTAACTCATTTCTTATGGGTACCCTTTTCTGCACGTCATGAGATTTTGCATTCAAAATTTAATTAAGCTATTTTACGATCAAAACTTACCAATGGAATCAGCATTAAGATTTACATTATCATTCAGATTTTTATATTATCCAAGTTTTAATTCCTTTATTTGAAAAGAAAGCTTAAAAAAAATTTCTTGAAGTTTGGTTTTATTCTCAAGTGATGTACAAGTTCACAAAACGTTAACTTTGTGTCTTGGTAACTTGAGAGTGTCTTCCCATACACTATACTTCCATATATAGAGAAGAAACTAGGTTAACTGCTCTGTTTACACATCCTTCTTCCAAGCTTCTTGGGCACATACTGAGAAAGGAGAAATAAATTTCTCTGAACTCTTGACAGATGCTAAAGTTGTGATTTCTCAGCCAGTTATACTTACTTGAGCTAGATGTTTATAACCAGTAGCAAGACCACATTTTAAATACAACCTTCAGATAGTTATTTTAAAATTGATACAAGGAATTCCAAAGAGAACCAGTCAAACCACTTTTAGCATTGTTGCTACTTTATGTTCTCACTAACACTTTAGCATTGTTTCTCACCTAGAAATACATTAGTTAGATACAGTTGCATTGTATTTAGGCTTTAGTTTCATATTTTACTTAATTATTTGTCATTTATATTTAAAGATGAATATTTGAAAGTTTTAATAATTTTTATGTAAGCCATCACCACCTTGATTCCACAAGGGTTAGTGTTAAATGCGAATGCCACTACTTTCTGCCGAGATCTAAAGTTTCGCTATGATACCGTAATATTGGAAGAGAATGCCCATTGATGTGTATTGCAATAAATAACTATGCCAAAGGACAGAAAAGGGTAGTAAAACATTAAAATAAAATGTAAAGATATGGAATTAAGAATATAACCAAAAGATGTTTTTAGATTATTTGACAAAATATTAAAAGGTATGTACATTTTTCACATGTCTTAATTTTAAACATTTCATTGTACTCCACTATAGTATATGTTATTGATAATAGTTACAGTTAGTAATATCATAGAGAAAGCAAAAATAAATATATATAAACATTTACCTGAGATTCCTGGTTTATTGAATATTTTCATATGGACTGTTACTGCTTTGTTTGAAGATGGCATTTTGGGCTTTGTGCTGAGTTCTTCATCAGATCTGAGGGGTCTGTTAGGAAGGATTCTATATCGGAAAGGTAGTGAGGTCTTGAAAAAATATCTAAGGAATGACTCCTGATTAGTTGTTTGGGTGTTCATTCCTTTAATTATTTATCAAGATAATTAAATGTGGCAGTGCAACCTTGAAAGAAAGCTCCAATACTGTTGAGCCATGATTGGTCCTAAGAGTGGTTGCTTAATTTAGTTTTTAATTCTGTTTGTGAGAAAAAGCACTTCTAAACCCTGAGGAATTGGCCATAGCGGATCACAATTACAATACAGGACATCAAAAACTTAATGTACTGGACAACAAAGAACACTAGAAATTTGGCAAAATTATAAAGTACTCATAATAAACCAAACATTAACAGAGACCAAGAACTGGAAACCAGCAGCATCTGAAACCCTATCGTATAGAATGAAAAAAAGAAAAAAAAATCTGGGACCAACTACAAAAGCAGTCAGCACAGAACCTAACATTTTGTACCCAAACCAGACAGAAGGCAGGGAACATTGATAACAAACTATTCAATATGTCAGTGCACTGCCTAAAACATTTTCTGTATGGGAACCTGGATGCTATTGGAACTCCAGTGTATAAAGGTTTAGCCAAGGTATTGATTAATTTTTTCTAATCACAGGAACAGAATAGGTGATAAAGTTATTGGTCAGTTTGTTATTGACTTGTTTAGATTTATGGGGTAGTATTTTATATGTACGTCTATATGATTAGTTCACTTTTTCTATCCTACAGGTTGGAACAATTTAGATCTTATGTTGAAGCACATAAGTAACTTTTGACAAGTATCATGTTATAATTACAGTTACACAAATCATAAAACATTTGAACCTTATTGTTTAAGCCATGATGGCTTTTAGTAAACAATTATGAGACTTTCAAATTTTCTGACTTGTTTTGAGATATGTCTACAATCCTGAAATGGTTGGAGAAGATGTTACAAATTGATTATTAATACAGTTTGCAATGCTGGTTCTGTTCACAATTATTGATGATGTGATTATTAATAAACCTATACAAGATGAACCTAAAGTAACCTCCTCTTGCATTCCCAAAATTGGAGTTCCTAAAAACGTTTATTACTAGTGTGCTACCAAATATTAAAAAATATGCTCTAACATTCAGAACAAAATGAAATAAATCAATTTGATGTGTATCTAGAAGTTCAGATGTATTTTCTTATTAATTACTAGAACTAAACATTTGATGAAATTCAAAAACATTTCACCAAAAGGTAAATGTTCAGCTGGTTGTACCTGTGCATACTATGATATGGAGTAAGTAAGGTTCAATTTTAGGTGTTTTTCCACCTGTATAATGGATGCTTACCATTAAGAATTGAAAACAAATCCATCATGAATGCCATATCTCAACGGTTTGTAACAATAACTTCAACTCTAGTCATCTCAGGATTGTAAGGTTCCAAGATGAACAGCAACTTAAGAATATGCTAACATCATATGTTTGAGCTAGAAAGTTCAACTGTTCTATTACTTGTACTATTCTAATACTGTGTGATTGTCTTATAGATGTGTTTGTAAAAGTTGATAAAGTTCTTGAAAGTGATGTGTAAGAAAAGCCTCATGGTAAAAACACCATTTACCATATTGGTAGGCTTTATGTAGTTTTAATATAATGGTTAAAATCACAGTGTAAAATATATTTTGTTTTCATCTAATCGTTTTTAGTGTTCTAAATAGATCACTTCTTGTGGTCATGGTAAAAATGTTTGTTTTATTCCAAAGCTATTTTTGAGCTTTCCAATCAAATCCTGGAAATTAGTTTTTTGTCATTATAGTATCGAAAATAAAACTGCTTTCTCCTTTATGTGAAATTTGCACACTTCTTTTTGAAATAATCTAAAATCAGATTATATATATATTACAAAAGTTTGAAAGTGGTGTAGATATATGATGTACTGAAAAATATTTCCTTTTTTTGTGGGAAGTCAAACTTTTTATCTGTTAAATATTGAGTTTTTCAAGATAGTATTTACAGTAAAACTAACTCAGAACCTCATAGTTACAGCTTTTATCTTCTCAGTGTGTCATTTTCAGAATTTTTTTTCTTTCGGAAGAGACTGTGGTTTAGAAATTTACTGAGTTCAGGTTATTTTTATCCTATTTCAAGTATTACTAAGGTGAACTACAAAATGTTTTGAACTTTGTTGATCAGGGAACTATGAAAACAGGTCAGTCTTTGACTCCCTTGATATTGGGTGGCAGCTTTTACGAATCTTCCCAAAGGAGATGTTGAAAAGAATTCCACAGAAAACTCTGACTGAGTTTTACCCACGAGATAGTCGACATACTGGAGCAGGTGCAGGAAACAAATAGGTAACCAAATTAACAAAGTCTGTAAAATATAGCCAGTCTTATTCCTTTAGAATTTTTATGATAATGTGGTGTGTTGCTTTTAAAAAGTTCATGTACATTGCTTAATAAATATTATATTTTTGAAATTTTTAATAACTTTTCATTAGATATAACCTTGCATAAATAAAAACTTCATTAAAGAATTATAACATATTTATTGTTTTAGTGTAATTTTGTCAGTAATTTGTGTTACTGATGTAATTCATAGAAATTTCATTCTTTTGCAGACTGATGTACTGCAATGTACCCTGAGGCGGCAGCAGCACACAGCATTCCAGATATGACCTAGTCATACAGTAAAGACGTGGTGCTTGATAGAAGCTGCACAGTGCAGTCATGGAAAAAAAATAATTGTCTTTTAAACTACTGAACCAATTGAAATGTCAATGAAATTCCAAATTTTCACATAAGTCATGCAAATAATTGAACATGTATGTTGTTAACAGTCGTTTTTATTAAATAATACTTATAATAATGTAATTGGATACCTTGATTCATGTTAAATATTACATTCCCTATTATAATTCCAGTTTATAATGTTCTTTCAATCTTAGTAGATGACAATACTTAATGCTAGAATTACTGGTGGGGACCATATAGACCCCATAAGATTTTTGTTTTAGCTACTAATACACGGATTGCTTGAGGATCCATAATTCTGTTGCTTGCAGATTCTCTAATAACATACAAGCTATACAAAACTCTAAATAATACCTTCAATATTGCAATTAATCCCAGTATTTACTCAGTAAAATTCAATAGTATTTAACAAAAAGTCTGTAATTTGAGAGTTAAAAGATTAAGAGTTAGGTCAAAAACAAGAAAGAGCTATAAAGAAATACCTCAATCACAATTCAAGGCAGTTTTATGTATTTCGTATTAAGTAAATGAAGTGATCAAACCTGTAAGATGCCAGCTCTATAAATCAAAGAACAATTTGATATAGTAAGAGAAAAAGATTTGCTCTTTAGAAAAAGACTTGTGTTGAGAGAATGAAAAAGAGAAAGCCTTAAACCTGAGTGTTTTCAGAAGATTGAAGGTTATTTACTTCTGAAGGTGGAAGGATGCACCCTCCAGTATTTCTAGGGTTCAGGTTTTCCTCTTTTTCAATACCTTGTTTTTTGTGATCCTACAGGCTTTTACGAGTTGTGTATTGAGATAATGAAAGAGCATAATACCAAACAGTTTTAATAATTCCATATAGATTATTATAGGAAAGGGAACAAGTCATTACAGTTATGGGATTTAAATATACAAAAACGAGTTAAATTTTAAAGTTCTTCTTTAAAATTACACATGAATACATAAGGTTTTCTTAGGATAATGTTTATATTATATACAACTTGTGATATAAAGCTACATTTTTATACCTGAGGAAATGAAAAATAATTTTTCTTCTAATTGTTTAAGAAAATACATTTAATTGTCATTTCTTAAGTTATATCTTAAATTAACTAGTCCTAAACATGTTTTGGGGCAAAAACTTTACTAATTGTGATAGGAAATGTAGTAGACCTGTGTGGTTATCCAATTAAAACTTAGTCTAGAGATCAGTATGAAAATATTTTAAACTTACTAGGGTGTAATTGAAGTTCTTGCATATCTGTGTGAATGTGTTAGTATATAATATGTCCCTTAGTTTGTTTACCAGTATACAATGTATTTTTTCCATGACTGCACATTAAAATGTATCCTGTAGTAGTGTCAGAAAGTTATTATGCATGTTACTGTGTTAAAAAAAATAAAAACTGGTGTAATTGATGTTTAGCTTTTTCATTTTGAATTACAAGAAATTCTAATATATCAACTTGGATCAACATAATGCGATTTTCAACCATTTCAGCCCTTAGTTACGTAAGTTACCTTCATGTTGTATTTGAGTGATAAGTTGTAAAATGGCATTCCATTGAGCAACTTTTATCGACATAATGCAATTTTCAGCCATTTCAGCCCTTAGTTACGTAAGTTACCTTCATGTTGTATTTGAGTGATAAGTTGTAAAATGGCATTCCATTGAGCAACTTTTATTGCATGTTTTTTAATCAGGTTACTTAGCCACACAGAATGATAGTGTAATTTTGGTGTTTTTCTAGAAACTATGAATAATTTTAGTTAAATAATCATGAAGATTTGCATAACTTCTTTTAATTCTTAGTGTTTTTGTTGATACAACTAATGGTCATTTTCATACCCATGACCTACTTATTTTATCTTGTGGCTGAAGTCAACTTTCAAATCAAACTGGAGCCTGTACTGAGGGTTGAAAAACTGATTGTCTACCCTTTTAATTGAGTAATTGTCATGAGAATCACTGAACAACACAGTAAAGAACTGTAATCGGTTAATGAGCTAATTAAGGTAACAGGCTGTGTTCTTAAAATTAAAATATTGGCTTATTGATTTGTGATGGGAATATCTGTATGTTTATTGTAAGATATTTTGTTGAACCAAATGGTAACAATGCATATAGTTTGCAAAAGACAATGAAATATTGAAAAACTACTGAAATTGTAATATTTGTAATACATAACTTGTTTTTAATTTTACTGTTTACTTAAAACTGTGACATCTAGAGTGAATTAAATGTTCACCAATCCACATATATATATATATATATATACATATATATATATATATATATATATA